AGGAAAGGTCTTCCAGTAATACAAGAAGAGCGCCGCGGCGCACGAATGTGCGCATGCGCAGGGTGCTGAGAAGACGAACAGATGTGCGGGCGCCTGGACAGAGGCGAGCATGGCTGCGCTCGCACCTGTGCATGCGCACTTGCAGACACGAGTGCGCACCTGTCACTTATGCTGGCACCAAGCGGGCTATTTAAACTGGCTGCTGCAGATACCTAGTTGCCGTATGAAAAGACTTCCCCTGCTTGTGTTCCTGACATCTGTGATTGTTCCCTGTTGCCGAAACCAGCCTGTTGCTGACTACTGATTGATTGCCTCCTGCCCTGACTTCTGGCCTGTCCTTGGATTACTCTTCTGCCTGATCCCGCTTGATTGACCTCCTGTTGTTGAACCTGGCCTGTGATCTGACTATTCTCCTGCCTGCTGTCCATGCCTGATCTGTCTTGTCTAATACCGAACCCGGCCCGTCTGACTTTGCTTCTCGCTACACGGTGCACCCGCATCCACCCATCCTGCACGGATCCCTCTGCACACTGCTCTGGTCTGCTACACATCAGTCCAACAGCTCTCATCGGACGGATCCCAGGCCCTCTTACCCCGCCGAGCTCCTACCACTGCTATTCCACTCTCAGCGGTCCCCGAGCCAGGGTTGTACGAGAGGTCTGCCTCTTCACGTCAGGCTCACTACCCAGGTATGTGACAACCAGGCACTTCGGGGCTTCCTGCTGGGCTCTGGCCTGTAACACTTTTTAACACACAGGCCATATGTCAATGTGTATGAACAGAGAGGAAGGGGGGAGAATGAGGGAGAAATATGGAGAATTCTTAACAAAATGGAGGGCTGTGTCTGCCTCTGGTGTGCACGATTGCGACACTCCCCACTACCAGAACCCACTGTCACCTGGCCATAACAGCTCTTGTCCCAGGCTAAATGTGTGCTGAAATATTGACCCCTAGTTTATATAATAGGCTGTGCTGTGGCACAGCCTATTATATAAACTTCCAGTTTACTTCCAGTAAACTAGGACAGTAGCATGCAAAAACATCTTTGACTTCTGAATGGTGGGTTATTTCAAATCATGGCATTTTCAACGGTCCAACCGAACATAGACTACTCTCAGGAAGTTACAGCCTACACCCTATAGTAATAAGAGGGGGTACTTCAGTGCTACAAAGTTCCCTCCCAGAAGACCTCTACACTTATCTTATATTGGAGTCCAATGCAAAGTCCATTGTAATGATTTCTGACCCATAGGACAGAGGCCTGAAAGTTCAGTACAGTTTCTACCAATTCCTGACACAAGACTGCCACCTTCCCATACCTCTCACACTCTTCCCAGCTCCATCCACATTAATATACCCCAAACACTAAGGGGAAGAGAGGATAAGGTAATATAATCCCCCTTATTTAGAGCATGGATGTGAATGAGAGTGATTGATTCAGCAGAGGAATGTGTATCTGATATAGCAAGCTAGCTGTGTATTTTCATTTCTGGTACTGAAGCTTCATTATCATGGAAGGCAACATACTATACAGTATCCATATTGAATCTATATTATTCAAGTATGTATATAAAAATCCATGCTAAAATCAAATAAACATCCAAATCACTAGAATCTATATTAATATCCCAAAGTGATATAAAAAATCTCTCTCATAACAGCACTTGTAGCAAAAAAAATAATTAAGTCAATAAAAAAATGAAACCACTTACATGTGTGTAAATGTCATATCAAAATATATCATAGCAAAGTTGTGCAAGCATGCAACAATATGTGCAAAACCAAGATGTTTAGTGCAATAATAGAGCAAACATTGCAATCCAGTTTCCAATGTTCTTTTCTCCCAGCATAATAAGCAGCAAGTATCAAAAGCTAGTCTTTATTAAAGCCTACTCATGTGCTTTAAAAATCCATATCCTTTCTACTCAAAATGACACAAATATCTTCTATTGCCACCACCACCACCACAAGGCACATCTCCAATGGGATTGAATCAATGTGGATGACCAGTCCAATTAATAAATTGGTCAATTTTTTTATTTTTCTATGTATTCTATCTGTTGTTCCACCAATTCAGAAATTGTTAAACATACTGGACATCCTGAAAAAAAAAAAATTAAAAAAATAAAAGAAACAGCTACTCATAGTATAGTATAATCCTAATAATTAGAAACCATAACAGAAAAAAAAACTTAAAAATTATAAGTGATTTCCCAGCACGAAGACAACCACAGGTGGAGAGCACCAATGGACCAGTAAATATTTAAAAAACTATATTCTCAAAGATTTTGACTTTCAAAATAAAATGTGATTTGACTCTACCTACATGGTGATAGGTCCAGGTAGTTTGCCATTTTTCCAGAAATGGAAATATACAGCTCAGGGATAGCTTTGCTAGAGGACCAATGGCAGCTCAGTATCCTCCCTTAAAGGCATAGAAAGTGTGTTCCAAGTTTCCACCAGGAATAACTAAATGTTACTGTAGAAAAATATCTACATCATGTAAATGGCTGGCAGCCAGTTTGGTTTCTGGGGACATATTCCTGTTTCTACAAATTCTGTGATGTATGAATGGCAAATAAGTGGAGGGGAAGGGGAAGGATGAGAAGGAAGAGCAATCATCCTTTGAAACTGGTGGTGGTGAAACAGCTTACCAGAATAGGTAATCAGCCATATGATCAGACAGGGAGTAACTCTAAGTGTACTAAAATGACTAAAGTTTAATTAGTAGGTGCAAAGGTAGAGGCAATAATGCAAAACAGAGATCTTTTATCCTCTCATACCAAGTCTAAATGTTTCCATTTCTCATATTACTACAGAATGTGTGCATAGTGTGTCTGAGAAATAACTGTATTTTCTTGCATCAACTGTGATGTTCTTTTTTTTTTTTTTGCTTGTAATGTTTGTCAAAAAATCTTAAATAAAAATGATCTGATTAAAAAGAAGTGAAAAACAGTTTTAGAATGACAAAAAACATGCATACACTACGGAATGATGAAACTGGACAAACATATGAAAGCTACACAAATATTGCATCTTCACAGCAATGTCTCTATGACTTTCTTAGGTTAACATGTGGCTGAGTAGCATAATCTGTAAAGGAATTCATAACAACAGAAGGGTCAAGCTGAGAATCACTACTTCATCAAAACAGTTCAGAACACGGCTACTTGTGATTATCCTTTAAAACAGCCTCCCTCACAGTGAAGTCCAGGGTTGCTCTGGTAACACAGGTGAACAGCTGGAGGCATACAAAGCCCAAGGACAAAATACCACCCCACTGTAAATTGAGTACTCTGGTAGCAATCAAGGAGGGGTTCTCCATGGTAGCTGGGTCTTTTGGATGACTGCAGATTACTTTCTCAGTTACCTCTGCCTTATCAGGTGTGGACTCTCTGAGCTGCTAAAGTAGGGAAGCTGAAGAATGTATATTGTATGGTCATGTCCCTAAAATGTTTTGTGGGAAATTAATTTAAAGGGGCCTTTGTCTGCATCTGACCATAGTGGATAAATGGGCACTCTGCTATAGCAGTAGTTGGCACACAAATGCTTTGATCCAGAATGCTTTTTGTACCCATTCCTCCTCCATCTTCTCTGAGTTCCGATTTCTCTGAATGATATTGGCAACAGCAGCAGATGATGATACAATTTGATCAGGGGACAGAATTGACTTAGTTGGCCAATATGCATCTTCCACAGAAGAATGAGAGTTGTTGATATTAAGATGAAGATAGTACTCATATGAAGAATGGTAGGATGAGGTGAAGTGCAAAGTAAAAATATCAGATTCATTTTCCTGCTAGAACTGTGAAAATAAACTAAATATCTAGTTGACACACACCTTATGTTTTTATTACAGGCTGTGGGCCTCTTAAGGATTACTGGAAAGGTTAATGTTGCCAGAAGCTAGGAGCACTTGCTTTCAGGTCACACGCTGATCGGCTGCTCACCTGCATTGTGAACACAGGAGGTCAGCCCTCAATACGATACCATTTAGAGAATGCTTTGCAGTTTCTGAATGAATGAAAAGCATTCTCTGATTGGAGCTCTCTGATCATGATCTCTACCTTGTTCAATCAGAGAAAGTTTTGCATTTATTCAGAAAATGCAAAGCATTCTCTGAATAGCGTCCATGATGGGTAGTCAACCTCATGTGTTCACAAGGCATCAGTAGCAGTGTCTAGTTCAGTGATTTCTAGTTTTCAGCGGCATTGGCTAGGTATGTCATATACACTATATTGCCAAAAGTATTGAGATGCCGCCTGCCTTACATGCACATGAACTTTAATGGAATCCCAGTCTTGGTCCGTAGTGATCAATATTGAGTTGTTCCACCCTTTGCAGCTATAACAGCTTCAACTCTTATGGGAAGGCTGTCCACAAGGCTTAGGAGTGTGTCTATGGGAATGTTTTAGCATTCTTTCAGAAGTGCATTTGTGAGGTCAGGCATTGATGTTGGATGAGAAGGCCTGGCTTGCAGTCTCTGCTCTAATTCATTCCAAAGGTGTTCTGCCAGGTTCAGGTCAGTACTCTGTGTAGGTCAGTCAAATTCCTCCATCCCAAACTCATTCATTCATGTATTTATGGACCTTGCTTTGAGCACTGGTGCGCAGTCATGTTGGAACAGGAAGGGGCCATCCTTAAACTGTTCCCAAAAGCTGGGAGCATGAAATTGTCCAAAATATCTTGGTATGCTGAGGTCTTAAGCGTTCCCTTCACTGGAACTAAGGAGCCAAGCCCAACCCCTGAAAAACAACCCCACACCATAATCCTCCAAACTTGCACTGCATCCGACGCTTTGCATTGCACTTGGTGATGTAAGGCTTGGATGCAGCTGTGTTTGCCATGGAAACACATTCTATGAAGCTCTCTATGCACTGTCATTGTGCTAATCTGAAGGCCACGCAAAGCTTGGAGGTCTTTAGCTACTGAATCTGCAGACAGTTGGTGACTTCTGCGCACTGTGTGCTTCAACATGCGCTGACCTCGCTCTATCATTTGTTGTTCCCATAAGCTTCCACTTTATTATAACACCACTAACAGCTGACAGTAGAATATTTAGTAGCAAGGATATTTCAAGGATAGACTTATTGCACAGGTGTGGCAACCTATCATTGTACCACGCTTGATTTCACTGAGCTCCTGAGAGCGACCTAATCTTCCACAAATGTTTGTAGAAGCAGTCTGCATGCCTAGGTGCTTGATTTTGTACACCTATGGCCATGAAGGTGATTTTTAACACCTGAATCCAATGATTTGGAGGGTTGGCCCAATACTTTTGGCAATATAGTGTACATAGTTACATTGGTCCAAGCTAGACCAAAGTAACTACCATATTTTCTGGCGTCTAAAGCGACTGGGTGTATAAGACGACACCCTAATTTTCCAGTTAAAACATAGGTTTTGGGCTATACTCGCCGTATAAGACTACCCCCCTTCCGAGGCAACACCATTTAAAAACATCAGATTTTTTAATTGAAATGGTTATGACTTACCGATACTTAAAATCCTTCAAATTCCTCATATTCATCCTCTGACATAAGTTCATGAATGACATCTTGTGATACATTTGTAAGACAGTCATCATATGGATCAAATTCCAAATCAGATGGTTACCGCTGGATGTGCGGTAATACGGTAGCTTCAGCTACATACAGTATACAGTATATATACAGCCCGCTGGATGTGCAGTAATGTACATACAGTATACCGCGCTGAGCCAAGCTGGCTCAAAACAAATGTCCCTATGAAAGATTAATCTGTCAGCCCGCTGGATGTCTGGTATATACAGTATACTGAGTATATATCACTGTGGTATATACAGTATACTGAGCCAAGCTGTTTTAAAACGTACCGGTACGTCCCTACTGTAATCAGCCCGCTGGAAGCGTGTATGTACGGTATCTGCGGCTACATACAGTATACACTGGGCCAATCACGGCGAGCGATGTATTCTACAAATGAATACAAAGCCTGCTCGGATTGGCTGAGGTTGTGACATCATCAGCCCACCTCTCTGACTCAGCCAATCTGAGCAGGCTTTGTATTCATTAGTAGAATACATCATACGCCGTGATTGGCCCAGTGTATACTGTATATAGTCGCAGCTAAAGTACATACACGCATCCAGCGGGCTGATTACAGTAGGGACGTACCGGTACGTTTTGAAACCGCTTGGCTCAGCGCAGTATACTGTATATACCGCACATCCAGCGGGCTGACAGATTAATCTGTCATAGGGACATTTGTTTTGAGCCAGCTTGGCTCAGCACGGTATACTGTATGTACAGTATTACCACACATCCAGCCAGCTTGACCCAAACAAACTCAAGGTTCACATTTTATACTCCGCGTATAAGACGACCCCCAATTTTTGGGGTATATTTTTAAGTATAAAAAGTAGTCTTATACGCCAGAAAATACTGTATGTATAAAATGCAGATGCCTATAATTATTCTTTAACCATTAGCCGCCCGGCCAATGGCCGTTTGGCGGCTTCAGATGTGTCTCTCCATTCCGGGTGCACGCCATTTGGCGTGCTCCCGCACATGCGCCGTTTGCGCTAATGCAGAGCGGCGCAGCAGTGCGATCTGTCACCGGCCGTGCACCTCGGACACGGCCGATGACAGATCCGAGTACCGGCTCCCGTTGCTGGTACCATGTGACCTGCTGTGACCAATCACAGCAGGTCACATGACAGTTGTATACATGGATGGCTTTATTCATGATGCCATCCATTGTATACTAGTGCCTAGCTGTGAATGGTCACAGCTAATCACATGCACATGTCATGTGATTAGCTGTGACCAAATCACAGCTAAGCACAAAAAAAAAAAAAAAAAAAAAAGCTGAATGAATCGATGTCATTCAGGTAAATGCTTGCTTATAGCAAAGTAATTCTTTGCTATAAGCAAATTGTGTAAAAAAAAAAATACTGATCACTTCCCCAAAGTAGTACAATGTTACTATGGTAACATTGTACTACTTTGGTCATAGTAAAATATGAAAAAAAATCTTAAAAAAAATAAAAAAAAATTTAATAAAAAATTAAATATAATAATAAAAAAAAATATATATATATATATATATATTTTTTTTTTTCATACTGTCACCATTCAGTGTCCCTGTTCACCGCCATGCCAGTTATATGATGATGCTGTACTGCACTGATGACAGTATGTAAAAAAAAAAAATAGTGAAAATAATTTTTTTAATTTTTTCATTTTCCCGAAAAATTATGACAAAAAAAAACTTAAAAAAACTCGCCATGCCTCTTATGAAGTACGTCGGACTGTCTACTCTGCAAAAAGGGGTCATTTGGGGATATCTGTACTATTCTGACATTCTTGGACCTCAAGAAATTAGATTGGCTGTCAGTACTTCAGGATTGATCAATTTTCAGATCTATACCATAGTTTGTGAACTCTATAACTTTCCTACAAACTAAAAAATACATCCTAATTTGGGTTATTTTCACCAAAGACATGTAGCAGAATACATCTCGGCCTAAATTTATGAAGAACAATTATTTATTTGTAAACTTTTATAACAGAAACAAAGAAAAATGTGTTTTTTTTTCAAAAGTTTTGGTCTTTTTTTGTTATTTTAGCAAAAAATAAAAACCCCAGCGGTGATTAAATACCACCAAAAGAAAGCTCTAGTTGTGTGAAGAAAATGATAAAATTTTAGTTTGGGTACAATGCTGTATGACCGCGCAATTGTCATTCAAAGTGTGAGAGCGCTGAAACGTGAAAAATGGCCTGGGCAGGAAGGTGTAAAATTACCCGATATTGAAACGGTTAAGCAATAAATAGGTTTTTATTGGACACTCATGTCTGAGGTGATCCCAGATCCCACCAATATCTGCTTACTGTTGATAGTATGAGTGGGAGATTGAAAGTCAGATTCAGACTTTGAAGCTTCATACATAGCTAGGGATAAGTCAAAGGTTCAGTCTGAACACAATTTGGATGATATGATTGGTGATGGGGGACTTTTTGTCTTATTTTCTGTTTTTTATTAAAGGACTTTTCAAAAACTGTGTAGGTGACTTTATTTACTTTTCACTGTTTAGTAAATAAATAGGGTTGCTCATTACTCATTCACACACATGGGGAGGGCGGTATCCAGGACCACCCTTATTGTGAATAGATGGGTTCCAGATTCCAGTAAGGCCCCAGTTGGCAGACCTTTACAACCACTGTTAGGTACTTGGCCAGGGGGGTCCCTCGTTTGTTAGCAAAGAGAAGGAAGAAACCAACAATTGTCATTTGCTGGCAATTTTAACTACATTTTTGTCTTTGTATGTTTTGCTGTAGTGGGTTGTATACATCATACAGATGCACCACTTCACACGCATGTTAAGGGCATCCCCCATTTATGCTATTTAACCAGTAGCCTACAGGGCACTTATACCCCCTTCCTGCCCAGGCCAATTTCCAGCTTTCAGCGCTGTCGCACTTTGAATGACAATTGCGCGATCATACAACACTGTATCCATATGAAATTTTTATAATTTTTTTGTGACAGATAGAGATTTATTTTGGTGGTATTTAATCACCTCTGGGTTTTTTATTTTTCTTAAACAAACCAAAAACCACTGAAACGTTTGAAAAAAAAAAAGTTTTTTCTTAGTTTTTGTTATAAGATTTTGTAAATAAGTGATTTTTCTCCTTCACTGCTGTGCACTGATGAGGCTGCACTGATGGGCACTGATAGGCTGCACTTATGGACACTGATAGGTGGCAATGATGGGCACTGATGAGGAGGCACTGGTAGGTGGCACTGATGGGCATTGACAGGCATCACTGATGGGCACTGAAAGGCAGCACTCATATGGCACTGATAGGCGGCACTGAAAGGCAGCACTGACTGGCACTAATATGTGGCACTGACTGGCACTGTTAGGTGGCACTAATAGGCAGCACTGACGGGCACTGATAGGCGGCACTGATGCACACTGATAGGTGGCACTGACTGGCATTGATAGGTGGCACTGATGGGTGACACTGAAAGGCAGCTCAGATGGGCACTGATATGTGGCATTGATTGCACTGGTAGGCACTGAAATGTGGCATTGATGTGGCACTGATGGGCACTGGCAGGTGGCATGGATGAGCACTGAGAGCTGGCACTGATGGACACTGACAGGTGGCACTGCTGGGGCTACACAGATCATCAGGGCACACTGATCATCAGTGTCATGATGATCAGTGTACATGTCCCCTCTGAGGGATGCCGATTACTGGCTCTCCTCTCGAGCTGTCAGCGTGACAGCTCGGGAGGAGAGAAATGGCGATAACCAGCATATCCCTATTTACATGCGATCAGCTGTGATTGGGCACAGTTGATCACATGACCGAGCCGACATCTTTGGCTCTTTGCGTTGATCTTTACTATATGGCGGGTGGGAGGCAGTTGATTATGTCCATATTTCTGTGCTCAAAGCGCTACATTTTTTTGCATGGAAATATGTATTTTTTTATTGTAGGCCTGTAATTTTTAGGAATAACTCACTGAAATCTGTCTGAACAAGAGTCTAGTAAACATCCCGGGTAGGATAAAACTTGAAACACAAAATCATAAATTATAATTTAATAAATACTCATAAAAAATAATATAATAATAATAAATTTAATTCAATAATATAATCAAACCAAAAACACTGAAATTTGAAATAGAGCGGCAAGTTCACACATCACTGAGCAAAGTCGCAAAATCGTTTTCAGTGTCTGATGACGGATTTCCCCACGAATCATTATCACTCAATTCTGCAAGTGGTTCTGATTTCCTATCGCTGTTCTCTAGCTGGTCTAAAACCACTTTTGACCTAAAGGGACGCTTTTTGGACACCATGTACATTTCTCAGTTTCCAGGCAGAAAGAACAGTAAAAATGTAGGCAGGGCACAGGACAAAGCACTAGGGACAAAATGTATATGAAATGGTTTGATACGGTAATGTTATACTATGTGATTTTAGTGATTTTAGTAAATGTCACTTTTTGTCATTTTCAAATTTCCCGCCGTTCCGTCCCCGTACGTCCCGGCGCTCGTAGGGGACGGAACCCAGATGACAGATGCCGGCATCCGCCGGATTACATTGCCGGGGACACTGCAGGAGGGACATTGCGGGAGCGCAGGACAAGGTAAGTGATCGAGGAGCAGCGCCGCATGGTAAGCCCGAGTGTAGCTCGGGGTTTCCGCTTGTGGCACTGAAACTTTACCCCGAGCTACACTCGGGAATACCGTCAGGGAGGTTTTTAATAATGCCCTTAACGCGACATTAAATTCAGTACTCTCTGCCAAACAAAATTTTCAAAACTTTTTTTTCTGATCACACATTCCCTATGGCAGTGCCCAGCTCACATGTCTTTTTTTTTACAATGCCTTACCTATTAGCCTAGAAAATAGCAATTTTTTTTTTCTTCTTTTGACTCCCTTTGACTTCAATGGGGTCCAGATGCGGTACCTAAACTTTACTCATGTTTTTTTAACCTGTCTCTAATCAATCCAGGTATGTTCAGCTCAATTCTATACATAGCCAAATCTTTCATTCTGACCTGAAATTTGAAAAAAGCTTGTTTGAATGTAATAGAATGCTTCTGTTGGTTTTAAATGCAGTAAAACAAAACCACAAAGCCTGAATTTGCTGATCAAGAGCAAAGAATAAGAACAAACATCAACCATATCCTAAATCTTCTAACATTGCACAATTAAACTCCAATTTCTCCCTGTAGTTGTTCCAGTCACTAACTGGCCCTCAAATTTATTATCTACCTCCTGTTGCTTTCTGATGTTTGAAGTAGTGTGAAAACATACTTACTGTATGTGTGTTTGATAAAACCAGACAGTACCAATGAGAGAAGGGGTCCAACATCGCTAAAGTCAGAAAATTGTGGCTGCTATAACTTGCATGGTTTTATTAGGGATAGCATTGCCAAACTTTTTATCTGTGCAAAAGGCTGGTTAGGCATTGGGATGATGTAAAGGCATGCAAGACTGTATTCCTCACTCCCTCACGCTTCCTTCCCACAGTACAATGGGTCTCACAAAGCCACTTCTCTTTACCAGTCATCTGAGTCAGGCCTCTCTGATGTCATCATGCAGAATACAGAACCAGGGCTCCAGCACTGTATATGAAGATGTCAAGGGGCCACCCACATACCAGGGGTGAAGGACACTAGAGAAGAACATCAGCTGCTGGTGGAGCAGAATAAGGTAAGCATTCCTCTATTCTTCCTTCTGCACTGAAGAGTGAAAGGGTATTTCTTTGAGTGGACATGCCCTTCCCTGGTCATGTGGATGCTTCCAATTGCCTCTTCATTGGTAGAGTCCTCACAGAGTCCTAAATACTCCAGCAGCAGCTTGATGATGTCACAACAAGGGAGAACAACAATGACAGTTGTCAGTAGGCCTTGACTGATGGAGTACTTTAATGAAAGAAAAAAAGTTTAAAAAAAAGGTAACTAATGGGTATTTAAAAAACTTGAAAAGTGGAAGGAAGTAGGGTGGGTGGGTATAAGGTATTAGGGAAGGCAGGGCACATTATCCTAGAGATTGTTTTACCCCCCCCCCTCCCCCCAACATCACAAATAACAACACTAAACTAAGGTAACCCCTAAATGAGGGTTTACCATAATAAATCTAATTTTGCATACTCATCTTATTTTGATTCAGAAGCATCTTTGCACCAAAAACATATAGGATAATACAGGAAGACAGCATTATGGAATTGTGAAGGAGGCTTTAGGGGATTTAACAAACAGGGGAGATGCCAGGGACCAAAACATATATAGAATAAGAGCAAGTGATGCCACAAAAGGATCAAACACATAGAATAATAAGAAATGGATCAGATGATTGCAAGGATCAGTTAGTTATACAGAGGCAGAAGCAAACAGATAACCATTCTTGAAAGTTGCCAAAGGTTCACACTTGCCAATAATCTGCAAAGTGATCCACAGTGGATTGCTTTTCAGAGTGTGACTAAGCACTCTACCGTCTCTATAGGCAGCGCTGCCTGTTAACTCAGTATGTTACCTTAAATTAGCTGCAGTGTTTGAACAACCTTCTCTGGCTGTATTTTAAACTTAGGTGGGTGGTGATAAAATAGTAGCTCAGCCATCTGTTTTTTACTACATCCCCACACAGTGTAACATGTGAAAGAGGCTAAACAGAGAACACACAGGCGCAGAAACACGGCCTGGACTGAAAGAAAAAAATGTTGCACAGATCTAGATTAACATTCAATGTGCCAACAATGGTAGGACTGATAGCCTAGGGTACTGCTGAAATAGGCAAGAATAAGGCAGAGCAATACAAAGAAACAGAATGACAGATAGAGAGGCAGATGCAACAGAAAAAAACAAGGAAAGGTATAGAAGGAAAGGATGGGAGGACAAGCAGAAAAAACACACAACATGCCAAAGAAAGCAATATTAAACCCAGATATAATCATAGAAATCTGTATGGACCCTTACAGTATTGATATATTGTATAGTCTGGCAAACATGAGACAGGATCTTATCTGATATTACATTTAAACCATTGTACAAGTAGTCAGATACTTTATTGTGATAACCTGTAGGTTTTAATTATGAATCTATGGTAATGCAAGTTTAAGGAGAATCAGAGAATTAATTTAACTGTGAGAACATCCAATTACCCACAGTAAACCAGGTGAAATCTCTATGAATAGTAAATGTAGATTGGATGGAGTGATATGAAATTTACCGTCTCTCTTGTGCACGGTGTGTGAGATGTAAATCCATTGGTTGAGCGGAAATAACACAGGCACCTAAAGTCAACAAGAAGATAATATTAGCAAGCAAAGATGTGGATTGCTTGAGATCTCCCTATGCAGTGTATTTCTGTGCTGTGAAAGGCAGAAAAAGGCCCATAATGTAAAGGATGCACATCAATACCTGCAGAAAGCATTGGCTCATAATGACAATTTTCCATTACCATAATAATGTATAAAAAGTGGACCTAATTTTAGTCATCAGATTGTGTTTCAAACTATTGATTTTATGTTTTATTTCTGCAATACCATAAATGAGCTTATTTAAAAAGTAATTCCCCTACTTAGTTGAGTTTTCAACAACAAATTCCATATTCACAAATTATCATTTATATCTATATAACTGTGCACTTTGTTATTATACTTTGGATTGCTCCCATGATCAGATCCTTTACTAAATCCTTTACAATTCCCACAGACATACCTGTTCCATATATAGTATATTAACCAACCTTATTCAATCAGCACAGTCTATCACATGTGGCAAAAATTATATATAAAAATTGAAATAGTATGAAAACAATATAAAACAAACCCACCCCTTGTTGCTAGCTGAACACAGATAAAGTGAATCTCACCTCTCTTAATAGATATTCCTCATTAAAAAGTGCAGCACAACTCCCTATATTCACCCTCCTTCCTAAATAATGCTTATACCACTACTAATAATGAATAGTGATTAACAATCATAATCATAAATGTCCTGTCCACACAATACACCTATTAGTGTTAATAAGTGACACTGTGAGTATCCTCTTCTTTTCATTGTTCTGTGCACCACCAACACATCAGGTGAAAGACCTGCTCATCTCCAAATTAAGTCATTAGCGCTCATCTGGATATTAACAGCCTCTTCCAATTCAGATTCAAGTCTTCCTCCTAACTCCTCCCACCCTGCTTTTGCTCAAACATCCAGAAGGGATTGTCTCCTGAAACAAAAAGGCCAACACATAGTGCTCTCCGTAGAACACCGCTAGCAAGATGGTGGCGGCATGACTTCCCAGGCTCAGCTCCTCTCTCCTAGACACATTGTGCCCCTCTCAAGGCTTCCTCAGTAGTAGTATACCACTATTAGAAGTGGTATAAACATTATTTAGGAAGGGGGGTGAATACAGGTAGTTGCGCTGCACTTTTTTATGAGGAATATACACTATATTGCCAAAAGTATTGGGACGCCTGCCTTTACATGCATATAAACTTTAATGGCACCCCGGTCTTCGTTTGTAGGGTTCAATATTGAGTTGGCCCACCCTTTGCAGCTATAACAGCTTCAACTTTTCTGGAAACGCTGTCCATAAGGTTTAGGAGTGTGTCTATGAGAATATTTGACCATTCTTCTAGAAGCGTATTTGTGAGATAGGCACTGATATTGAATGAGAAGGCCTGGCTTGCAGTCTCTCCTCTAATTCATCCCAAAGGTATTCTATGGGGTTGAGGTCAGGACTCTGTGCAGGCCAGTCAGGTTCCTCCACCCCAAACTCGCTCATCCATGTCTTTATGGACCTTGCTTTGTGCACTGGTGCTCAGTCATGTTGGAACAGGAAGAGGCCACCCCCAAACTGTTCCCCACAAAGTTGGGAACATGAAATTGTCCAAAATGTCTTGCTATGCTGATGCCTTAAGAGTTCTCCTCACTGCAACTAATCCCCTCTCCACCAAACTTTACACTTGACACAATGCAGTCAGGCAAGTACCGTTCTCCCAGACAGCTCCCAGACATGTCCATCGGATTGCCAGACAGAGAAGCATGATTCATCACTCTAGAGAACATGCCTCCACTGCTCTAGAGTCCAGTGGCAGCGTGCTTTACACCACTGCATCCAACGCTTTGCATTCCACTTAGTGATGCAGCTCCTCTGTGATGCAAACCCATTCCATAAAGCTCTCTACACATTGTTGTTGTGCTAATCTGAAAGCCACATGAAGTTTGGAGGTCTTTAGCTATTGACTCTACAGACAGGTGGTGACTTATGAGCACTGTGTGCTTCAGCATGTGCTGATCCAGCTCCAGGGGCATACAGGGAGAGGAGTGCAGAGTGTATGGTGGTGGGTAGTAATGTGTAGGATGTTGTCAGTAGGGCAGTGGATGGTGCCAGCAGTTCCTTATTATTATTATTATTATTATTATTTTTACAATTGTATTATTTTTTTATTTATATTGTTTATTTTTACTATCTTTTACAATTTATTTGTTTTATTTTTTCAAAATGATTTGGGAGGGCCAGTGGACAGTGACAGTAGGGAGAGAACAGGGAGCACTAGTATATGTTGGGCTGTCATTAGATTGGGATGAATAAACAGAACCTGTACCCCCTTATATCATGCGATGCTATCACAGCCCCCCTTACATCAGATGTTCCCACATGGGACCAACTACTACCATAGGCTGATGACACAAAAAGGGGAGGGAGGAAAAAAGGTAGGGATGGGATCAAGGAAGGAAAGAAAAAAGAAAAAGAAGAAAAGGAAGGAAAGAAGAAAAGGGAGATCTGGAGGGAGGGAATGAATGGAGTAAGGAAGAAGAGAGGAAGGAAGGAAGGTAGGGGAGGAAGTGTAAGGAGAAAGGAAGGAAAGAAGGAAAGAGAGGGAATGGATGGAGGAAGGAAGGAAGAAAGAAAGAAAGAAAGGAAAGAAGGAAAGAGAGGAAATGGATGGATGGAGGAAGGAAGGAAAGGGAAGGAGGGGAGGGAATGGATAGAGGAAGGAAGGAAGACAAGGGAGGAAGGAAGGAAGGAAGAAGGAAGGAAGGAAGGAAGGAAGACAAGAAGGAAGGAAGGAAGGAAGGAAGGAAGGAAGACAAGGGAGGAAGGAAGGAAGGAAGGAAGGAAGACAAGGAAGGAAGGAAGGAAGGAAGGAAGACAAGGAAGGAAGGAAGGAAGGAAGGAAGACAAGGGAGGAAGGAAGGAAGGAAGGATGGTTTCTGGCTTACTGGCACATTCAGAAGCATCACACAGCTGAGGCTGCTCTAGACACAATTTCCTGCCCACACTTCTCCTTTTCAGAAGCTGCCTGGACTGGAGTGTGGGTGGGGACAGGAGGAGGCAGAGCATTTTCTGGCTCTATCCTCTGCCATTGTTGTGGAGGATGAAGGGAGGGACTTGGCACTCTGTCAGAAGATGAGGCATCACAGACCTGTGGGGTGGGGGCTTGAGCCGCAAACAGGGGGTCCTGGAAGGGAAATCCAATGCACAGTCAGGGATGATCAGTGCAGCAGTGGACACAGTTACAAGCAGTGATCTCTTTGTATGGCTTTAAATGAAACAGTTAGAAGCCGCTTCTCCTCCTCCCCCTCCCACAGCTTCCATCTGCTTCCTTGAAAGCCATACAAGGAAATCACTACTTGTAACTGTGTCCACCACTGCACCGATCATCCACGACCAGGAGCGGACTGACCATTTGGAAACTCGGGCACTGCCCAAGGGCCCGGGGTCAGTAGGGGGCCCCATGAGATGTCCCTGGTACCTTTTTCATAGGCTTTTTTGAGTTTGGGCAAGGGCACAGGGGCCCCATGATCCCCTATTGCCCGGGGGCCCCATGAGTTGTCAGTCCACCCCTGTCCATGACTTTGCTCCTGATACATATCATCCATGGGTGCAGGGTGTTCACAGCACAGTGGGCCTCCCCAACCCTTGTGGCCCATGTGTAGTGAACACCCTGCACCCCTGAATGATATGCCACTGCCCTGCTCTGTCATTTTATGAGGCCAACCACTTCATGGCTTAATTACTATTGTTACCAGTTGCTTCAACTTTCTTATAATACTAACAATTGACCATGGAACATTTAGTAGCAAGGAAATTTCACGGATGGACACCTGTGGCTGTAGAGGTGATTGGAACACCTAAATCCAATGATTTGGAGGGGTGTCCCAAAACATTTGGCAATATAGTGTATTTCTTAACCAGGTCTGTAGAACAAGCATCGTTACTTATTCACCTTGCTCTCTCTTTAAAGGATAAGTTCACCTTTCATAACATGTTACATGTTGCAGCCATATTCAGGGTGGAACATGTAACATTTTACGAAAGGACCGCTCCCCCCCTCAATCTCCCAATCCCCCATTGTGACAGCTAGCGAGGAACCATCTTTCTCCACTAGCTGTCGCAGTTTTTTTTTTAACCGTACGGGGCTCCACCCACCCATCTGCATCACTCATTCGTAGTATTCTATGAATGTGAAACTACAAGTCCCAACAGTCTACAAGCTGTTGGCTTGTAGTTCTCAGTGAACTACCACAGTGCTGATGAGAGCTGTGTAGTTTATTGATTATTCCTGTCAGTGTATATCTGCTTGCCCATTCGAGGTACGAGCACACAGATATACTGACAGGTCTGTAGGAGTCCTGCATGACATCATATATCTGCTGATTGCTGGTGCAATGCTTTCCAGGCTCCCAAAACAAAAAATAGTAAATGTACATTTTGTTATTGGCAAAATAATGTGCATTTAATATTTTTTGTTAAAAGGTGAACTTATCCTTTATCTATATAAAATGTATCTAGATGGATAATTTCCAGAATAAAGAATAAAATAGAGGACAATCACTATAATACAAGTGTTAGAACATTTTTTCAAAAATGCTGCTCACTTTTATACAGTATGGTGCTGTAGTGTTTATTCTTCAGGCAACTCATACTCATGGCTTTTTTTCTCAGAGAATAGGTGCAGAAACTCCCTCCTTCCGAGTCACCCCTTGTATTCGCCCCCTGCCCAGCTATGAACACCATCCTTTGGTTCTACCATCTACCCATCTACCAGTACCACCCCTTTTAGTGAATATGTAAGAGGTGTAGAAAGTAGGCAGCCCCATAAAATTAAAATCCAAAACCTAATACCTAATATAACAGTAATCTATCTTTGTCAATAGAAGATACTAGTGATTGCAGTTTTATTGTATCACCACAAGATGGTAGAACTACATCCTGTTTATAATCGAAGGACACAGAAGGGGGGAACTGAAAGTCTAACACTTTGTTTCCGGCAGGACGAACAACGAACAACGAACATCTGATCACATGCCATTAAGAGTTTTCTGTGTTTATTACAGCCATTCCTAATAAAGCACTTCTGGCTTCACCCGACCCATCCTTCGCACAGTGGAATTATTAACCGTATGTGCAACAAATACAGAGCCAAGTATCATGTTGTGGTGTTAAGTAATTTGTTTAAAATTTGCTGAAGATAACATACAAATTTGTCAAATAGATAACAGCCAGCATCAATGGACCCTCCAGCACACCCAAGCATTACATGTATTCAGTGCTGGAGGTGCCAGAACTGCATTCCCTGAGGTTCCTGCTGAATAAAAAGCCCTGGTTATCTTCCAGTTAGCATATACACACAAACAAATTGGTATGTAGGCAGTTGTGGGCTACAGTATTTCTTCCAACTTGAAGATGGCATTGTGCCATTTCTTCAGGCTGGAAGGAGCCCATTGAATAATAATTGTCTGCTGCTATGTGCTCCAGGCAGCCATCTTGCAAAGGACATCAATCTTATTGGATACTGATGTCTGGCAAGATTACGGCAGCCATCTTGATGGATGAATTCATAAATAGTTGAAATCTGCATCATTTGGGGTGCTTACAGTGCAGGAGTATGATAGGGACAATGTCATTGCTGGACAGGGAGAGAATAGAAGCAGCATCAGGGAGAGGTACTGAACGAGGAGAGAAAGGATAGGTTTTCCCTACAGGGTGTCTCCTCTGCCAGCTTCCTAGGACAGTCTTCAACTGGCAACCAGATTTCTGCAGGGGCTTTTGGGGATCACAGTTATACCACCACCCCTCCAAGAGAAGGGCTCCCCTGGCATCCTGTAATCTATAAGCATGTATCATAACATAACTTAGCCTACAGGGGGTATGATTTAAACATTTGAATGTACTTTCTATGCTTGCACTTCCTCTTTGTCTTGATCATTGCCACAAGTACTTCCTGGAAAGTTAAGAAATTATATTTCCCTGCTTCTCAGCCTGAGTGACTAATTTCCAGGCCCAAACTTACTATGTGGGATAGAGAACAACATATTAAGCCATGTTAGGGTTTTACCTTCCAGAAGGTTGAAATTTGCACAATGTTCACCAGACATGCAACAGTCGCATTCAACCCATACGTAAGTACAAATGACTTAAGCCGAGAATATACTGGGTGTAGATTTGGATAGTGTTCAAACTATTTTTACCCATTTGCAACACTAAAATGTTTTTAGTTTTTCTTTTTTACCATTTATCCTTTTTTAACCAGCCCAGTATGCAAGACAGGTGGAATTGTGACCTATACCATTTTGAATTCATCCTGCTTGTCCTTCAGAATAAAGGGTCTTCTTTAAAGTGACACTAAGCTCTGGTTTAACAAAACAATGATATTTAAGTATGTATTATTAACTCAAAATGTACATCCTATTGCTCTCCTCTCCAAATTCCTATTTTTGCTGCTCTGAGAGGGTGGATATGTTTGTTCTCCATGATCCCACTCCATGTAGGAATGTAGCCACCCTCTCTTGCTTGCTTCTGCGATGGACTGGGGATAATGGACTTTAAGATTTGTAGTGTGCATAGAGTAGTGCACATCATTGCAGCTGGCATGCCCTGCTTACCTCTTTTCAATGCTTTAATTGGTTTTCAAACACTTAGAAAAAAACAAAGCATTAACAAATTAACACAAGAATTATGGGTCCTTAAAGTTTAGCAAAGTACACACAACGCACCCAAAGTGGATGAAGTAACAGAGTTCACGTTACAGTGTTAATGTTTACAAACTGGTATAGGAATTTTTTTCAAAGCGAACCTAAACTTAGTGGTGTTCACAACCAACCTAAATAACAAAGAATGTATTCTATAACTTGGGGTGGTCATGAGTGATTAACTTGGCCCCTGCCTGTTTCAAACAAGTAGGAGTGAGGATTAAAGGAGAGGTTCAGGAGTTCAGGGGAATGTTACACGGAGGCAAAACACAGTAAGAAACGATTTTGTTAAAAATAGATTACATGGTCATTAATTAGTGGATATGCATGGGTTATTTTTTTAGAGAACAAGGACATTGTTTAGTGTTATTTTAGGGGTGATCCCCACTCTGAAAGCACCTGTTCCCCAGTGCCAAGGAAAGGGTATACAAAAGGGAGGGCTTATAGATGGCTTATTTTTCATCTACCTACCCCTATGGAACACCTAATTAATTGATTGTGAAATACTAGAAAAAAAAAAACACACACACAATTTCTACTTCTCCTATATTCACCCACCAAACACCACTGCTCACTAGAAATTGGACAGTCATTTTCAAAAACTTGTTCTGACACATTTTAAAGGAAGCATGTCATGAGATACATACATAGATCTCCATTGTTAAACAAATTCACAATAACAAAATAGTATTAAACCAACTGCAATTTTTTAATGTACTGGTTAATGTCAAGCAGTGCAATATAATCTAGTACATTGTTTACTTATCTCTATGCTCAAGCACACCCGGCCTATAGTCAAATGACATTCACCCAGAACGCACCTCATGTGGATCTCATGAGCAGCACCGTGCCGTGATCTGTCACTCACTGTGACACAGCAGATGACAGATCAATTTACCAGCCCACTGCAGGTACCATGTGATAACTGTGAGCAATCACAGCAGAGTGCATTCATTCATGCCATTCATTGTGTTCTATTGTGTTGATCTTTGTGACTGGTCACAGTGATCACATAGTATAGACAAGGCCAATCACAGCTCATCTGTACTATGTGATTAGCTGTGGCCAATCACAGCTAATCATAATAGTACACACTGAATTAATAGATTTAATTCTGAAAAAAAAATGATTGGTTTATAATAGTGAGTACCACTGTTATAAGCAATCAAAGTGTGTAAAAAAAATCCAGATCACCTCCCCAGAGTAGTACAGTACTACTATGGTAAGACTGTATTGCTCTGGTCACAGTATATACAGTATAAACAAAATCCTAAAAAAGTTATAAAAAAAATAAAACATAAATTATGTTAAAGGATTTTTTTTTTTACATACTGTCACCAGTCAGTATCCCTGATCACCACCACACCAGTTATATGATGATGCTGAACTGCACTGGTTGCAGCATGTTAAAGACAAAAAGTGATTTTTTTTTTTAATTCTTCAAAATTATGACAAAACATGACGACTTAAAAGAATTTAGCCATGCCTCTTACTAAATACCTCAGACTGTCCACTGATTTTATGTCAATAATTCAACAAACACTAAAGTCACTTTGTATGTTATTTATTTATTTCACTTGCTGATACGTCATCACATGACGATTCACTTTATACTCATTTATCACTTATATATTCCCCCCACAGTTACTACCTTTTGTACCACTAACCCCTCCCTCCTAGATTGTAAGCTCCAAGGAGCAGGGCCTCCTGTCCCTCTTGTATTGAACTGTATTGTTGCTGTATTTTCTCTGTTTATATTGTAAAGTGCTGAGCAAACTGTTGGCGCTATATAAATCCTGTATAATAATAATAATAATAATATAGCGCAACAAAGCGCCCACACCAGTCACTTTGATGTTTTCTCTTTGGCACTGCATTTTTTGTATACATATGTACATTTATATACTTGAAAGTAGCAAATACACCAGTATGACTACTTGTTCTTTGCTACTTCACTAATCTACCTTCACTAGATGCAAAACATAGGTGCTGTGATTGTGTACCAAGGTGATGACTTTGGCTCTAGATAAGAGTTCAGATGTTTTCCAATGCTGGACTATCAGTAGTTTGGAAGCTAGCAATATGTGTATGACAAGGCATTGATAGACTGACAGAAATTTGTCTGGTTTTATGTTCAATAATGCAAGTTCTGGAGTTAGATTGGTGAATGACCAAAGATATT